ACATGCCACAACACGACCAAATCCTAGAAATTTTTGTGGCAAGCCTTGATAAAAATGGTGGAATAGTGCTTTTAGCTAGTAAGGTTTCTGAGGTCTTAATTGCAATAATTAGCGATCTAATGCGGTGATATCAACTTGCTAAGCTTAGGTCAGTTTTTGGGTTAGCAAAAAATGATTCCTAGAATGCCTTTTAGGCATGGGCACGGTCACTGGGGTCTAGAGCCTTACCTTGAGGGATTTGGGCCCAGCCGGGTGCTCGGGCACAACTGTTGGGGATCCAAACATGGGCACTGGGGACGTAGGCACAATGTCAAGGGACCCGGGCTCAGCTTTTGAGTAACCGAGCCCAACTGCTGAGGAACCGAAATCAGCCCCAATGGACCAGAGCTCGAGCACTTGTGACTTGTGTACGGGTGCCAGGTACTCGAGCATGGAACTTGGGACCTGAGCACGGGCACTAGTGAGTCGGGCACGACCTCAAGAGACCCGAGCCAAACTCCTATGGACCTGGGCTCGGCCTCTGGGACTCGAGCCTGACATTAAGGCTCCAGGCACAGGTGTCGGGATTCCCATGCTCCGGCACCGAGGTCTCCGGTCCAAGCATCCATGTCTAGTCTTATTTTGAAATTGATTTTTGAATTTTAAAAAAGAAAATCAATTTTCTTAATTTGAGGCTAGGTTTTCCATTGATTACAAAAAGAATTACCATTTAAGCGATCCAAATGTCGGAAAATATTTTCTAGATAAATTTTTTTTGGTAAAACAAATAGAGCTTTAAAAGGAAAATAGTTGTTGGAACTGGATTGCATTCTCTCTTTTTCTTTCTTTTTCTTTTTTTTTTTTATGGGAAAGTTGTACTTCTTTGCTTACCGGAAAAAAAGGTCTAATCCCAATCCACTCTTTGGTGTTTTCCTTCTTTTTCCTTCCATTTCTTTTTTCAGAAATTATATAATGATAGGATATACTTTTCCCAATCAGTGCGAAAATAGCGATTTCCAGCAGAAAAAGAAAGAATAATATAAGAAAGAATCAGGTACCTACTAATTAGGAAGCACCATTTATAGTACAACTTATTGACGAAACCTTAGCAACGACACCTCCAATTCCATCCTTGACTAATTTAATCAAATTATAATATCAATCTCAAATACCACAATAATAGTAAAAAAAGGTTGCGTTGATAAGATGTCATAATCTTAAATCCACTAATACTTTGCTTGGTTAAGTAACATTGGAAGGATACTCGTTGATGCTTTGATAGGTACCTTCGGTAACTCGCTTGATTTGGCACTGTGAATTTCAATTTCGCTATAACCGAAGAGATTATATTACTCTTTTTGATATTTACAAGGGTGGGGAGTGGCAACATCGCTAGTAACCCCACTGAACATTACTCTTTTTGTTATGTTCAGTTCAAACCGTAGTTATTTCGCACTACCAGCGACTGGAAGGTCTGAGATTGACAATCTCATCACCTCGGCCCTACCAAAATACTAGTAACTAGAAAGTCTCGCTACACAAGGTATGTCTCAGCTAATCAATGAGAATGAGCCATTTGGAGTTTGCTAACAATTATTGGGACCCATGCTACATCACATGGCTCTCTCTCTCTCTCTCTTTGAGAAGTAAAGTTGGCCCGGAGCACCAGAGTATATTGGCTAATCCATTCGGACCCAAGCTACATCAATGAGAATGAGCCATTTGGAGTATGCTAACAACTTTGCCTGGGGAGATCTGAAAATGTATCTTCGACATACCTGCGCTTGGGCCCTGGTCTCTCGAAGCTAGGTCTGAGACCTTGACACCCTTGCTCGAGCTAGTTCCCAGTGCTCAAGCCCGGTTCCTCGGCATTTGAACTCGGACACAAAATAGTATGCGAGACTTTTTCTCATAAATGCAATTCATAATTTCCCAGTATTATACGTCTAAAATCGACTTCCATATTATTTGCAAAGTACAATAGATGAAATTGGAAATTAAAAATACTTGTTAGCTAGCTTGATTCTCCGTGAAGCAATTAGAGGCTTAAGATCATTTTATTTTTGTTCGAATTGAGATATGTGTTACAGTCTCACGATTTTTTTTATATAAAGTAGGGTCCTTTCTATAAGTCCACATATGGTGGAGGGAGATTTCCAGAGTTGCTGCTTCACAGCACTAAACCTTATCCCATGTTTTGAATTTTATTCTTTCTTTACCTGATTTAATAAACCCTATCCCACGTTTCAATTATATTCCTTCTTTAACAATGTAATAAACCTTATCCCACGTTTCAATTCTTTTCCTTCTTCGCATGATGTAATAGACCTATCTTAAATGGACGAGTAATAACTGTCCTTCTGGTTTTAAGTAGTTTGATTTTCTGGCTTGCCAAGAAGAGAACGCATTATTCTTCTTTTCCGGACATAATTCTCTTTTGCCTCTTTTTGACATTCTGGGGGAAAAAACAGATGCAATAAATATTGCTTTGCTACGCAAATAAAAAATTAAGGTTAATATTATGTTGAATTATTGATGAATGAAGTGAGTTCAAGGGAATCAATATGGTCATTGTTCTCATTGCAAATTGAAAGAGAACAATAGAGGACCCAGTATTATTGTAATTGCATGGAACTCGATATTTAAATAAGTGAATTTATATACACATTGCTTTATACCTCACATAAATTTTGAAGAAAGATAGGCTGATCAGTACTCGAGAAACTTGTCTACGAAATTACTTTAATTATTCTTATCTATTAAACAGCTCAATGTGTTCATAAGGAAGTTCATTGTTAGATGATTATCGTAATAGTTGAAGATGAACCATATTGCCTTCTGTTCACTTCCCATAGGCAACGAGCTAGATGTCCACATGCACCGAAAGAGGCAAATAATACTAACGAATTTGATATGCAACTAGCAATTACCTATTTGTTTAGCCATAGAAATTCAAAAAATGTAATGCACCTATTGAAGTAGTAATTAGAATTTGGCGCGTCTCTTTTGTTTACTTCTAAATGGCAATTTTGGCCTCTCCTTAATTAAAAAAATGCACAAATTTTGAAATTTAGTATACTAAGGCTCCGTTTGTTTCACGGAAATCAATTTTCAAGAAAACGTTTTTCGGATTTTTTGGTGTTTGGTTCACAAAAAATAAACTAGTCAAGGAAAACATTTTCCGTCAATGGGAAAAACACCTTCAAAAGTGGGGAAAAAGATTTCCTCTTTCTGAAAAGAGCAAAATATTTTTCCTCTTTTTTGGAAAATGACTTCTTGAAATTTTTTTTTTCAGAAATGTCACATTTTCTGCGAAACAAAAAGAGTCTAGTTTCTCATCATAACTTCGGGCCCCACCAAAAGAATATTTATTTATAATGTAATTTATGAGCATCGGAATATTTAATTATTAAGTCATTTTTTTTCTTTTAAAAAAATCAAATTTTTCATTATTTTTCTTTTTCTTTTTTTGTTATTGTTTTTCCTTCTACTTCAGCCGGCCACGGCGACCGGCCATAGGCGAGTTCGCCAAAATCTCTAGCTTGCCAATCTGGCAAGATTCGAGCCTTGTCGACTTCTAGTGGGCTTGAAGCTCGCCGATCCGGCGAGGCTCAAGCAAGCGAGCTCTATCTCTTGGGATTTGGAGAGGTGGAACCTCGGCTCAAGATTGCTTGTGGCCGATCGCCGGTCGTTGTCGTGGCAAAAGGAAAAAGAAAAGAAAAGAAAATAAAACAAATAAAAGTAAAAAAATTATTAAAAGGAGTGTAAAGAGGAAAATCAAATTAGAAGCGAATCAAACGGCTAAAATCAAACACTAAAAAATATAGTCATTTTCTAGAAATGTTACATTTTCTGTGAAACAAACGAAGCCTGATTGTCAACAATACGAAAGGATTTTTCTAGCTTAGTTCCTCATCATAACTTCGGCACCCACCAATAGAATATTTATTTGTGATGCTATATTTGAGCATTAGGAGATTTAATTAATTCTTTGAATAAGCGACAATCTTCACCTTTTCAATCATAAATATTTTATTAGACCAAAAAAAAAAATCATAAATATTTTGCCTTTTTGTTCACCAATACATTCATTTTTTTAATCAAACCCCTATACATTCTATTATTTAAATGATCGCGTTTTGGTTTTCACTGATTGATTCTCTACCAATAATTAAACTGTTTTGGCGCGTAAATATTTTACCTCTCATGTTTCACCCAAGATTCTACACCAATTATTACCCCGACGGTATTCGTTAATCTTACTCGATAAAGAAGGGGTTTTCATTTTCAACTTTCTGGTCACTCGCAACACTAGGAAGACAAATTTGAAAATGACAAATTTTATTTATTTAATATTCAACAAGCGTTTTAGAGCACTCGTTAACACCCGACACCGTCAGAAAAAAAGAAAAACCAAGAAGATCATTGAGACAATTCTTCTTCAAAATCCTCTTGTGCGAGCGGATGTGTGAGAGGCACGAGAGAGAAGGCTGTTCTGCCCGTTTTCTTCTTCAAAATCCTGCCCCTTTAAGCTCAAACTCGCCTCTTCCTCGTATTATTTAAGCAAAATAAAACTTAAAACCCTACTCTCTCATTCAATCTCGCCACTCACACATTCACTCCACAGCAGACGTTACGCACACACGCAGACCAACCTCCATCTCGTTCGAGAAATCAAGTACGAGTCCTTCTTCTTCTTGCCTTGATCGGTATCTTTCTTGAAGCCCACAGAATCCGATCTGCTGAAACCCCACAGATGCATACCCGTGTTACTGAGAATTAGATTTTCAACTTTCTCGTTTCCTGTTCTCGCTCTGTTTGTTTTCATCTCCTTGCATCATTCCATCACCAGACCTTGAGAATCAGCCGTTTAGTGCTTTTGGTTGGCAATTCGTGAGGTTCTGTTTTGCAGCTGCGATCCCTCCATGACTAAAAGCTTCGGATCTTCATTCGTTCCGTGTTTCGATTGTTCTTTCTTCAATCCGTACCATTTTTGCGGTAGTTTTTTGTTTTAAATTTTTGTGAATCGCATCCTTTTTTTTTTTTTTTTAACGCAGTTCTTTGGGACTTCTCTCTTCGGTCAAGAATGGCGCCCTATACGCATGGATGTCGTTCACCCACTGTACACACGGCCACTCCTGATGCAGTGGCACGTAAATTCAACCATCCGGCAATTGATCTCAACCGTCCACCTCTGGACGATCCGATGGACGATCATGATCCGAATTCATCCGTCACCGATTGCAAGAGTGTTGTCTCTGCTGATCAATCTGGCACTCCTCCGTTGCTGTTCAACGGCAGTATGTTGGTGGAACTCAGCGAGGGACACAAGGTCCACCGCCTTATCAAAGAGGACTTCTCGAGGCTAGCTGCGCTTGGGATGCAAGTTACCTTGGCGGCAATCCACGCGAATTGCTGCTCTGATGTCTCGGCAAAAGCACGGTACCAAGCGTTTCAAGTTTACTCAAAGGCAGTGCAGAAGAAAGGCGGCGACAACACCGCCAACGTGAAATGCGCATGGTATGCGGCTTCGAAGGAAGAGGTATTCAAGATCTTGTCCAATGGTTTTGGCTACAGTGGGAGGCCCGAGAACAATGGCTTGTATGGTTGTGGAGTTTATTTTGCTCCTTATGGTTATCCTCTTGAAAGGTACCGAAATTTGATTCTTTTCCCTTTTATTCCGTAAATAATCGAGAGATACTATTTGGAAAACGGTACAATCACGGAGACAAGCTAATTTAGTGCATTAGTATATTTCCCTTTCATGCTATGATTGGTTAAATCCAATACAAGGAGTATATTTCTTGAGCATATGGTTTCTTGACTCATGTTAGTATGTTGTGCATGTGATGACATAGGCCTTGATTATCCTTGTAATGCTTTTGCAATTTAAATCTGCCCCTATCAAATGCATAAATAATCGAGAGAGATACTGTTTGGAAAGTGGTACGATCACAAAGATACGTTGATTTAGCGCGTTAGAATATTTCCCTTCTAATCTATGATCGGTTAAATTTATAGAATGAGTTTGTTTCACGAGCATGTTGTTTCTCGACTCATCTTAGTATGCTGTGCATGTGATGATATTGCTCTTAGATAGTTTCTCTGTAATGCTTCAGCAGTGTAATATCCGCTCCTACAGATGAAGATGGGCTAAGGCATCTATTGCTTTGTCGGGTCATACTGGGGAAATCAGAACTTGTCAATCCTGGCTCGGAACAATCTCATCCCAGTTCGGAAGAGTACGACATGGCCGGCAACGGCTTATCATTTTCGATGAGATTGAGAATTTGGAGTAGTCATCTGAACATTTGTGTGTTGCCGGTGTACATTGTGAGCTTTAGATTCCCTTCTTGCTCAAGAGGTAATAAAATTTTCTTTCTCAATCCTACTTTTACATTGACCATGTTTGTGTGTTTGACTTTGTTTGTCCTATCAGCCATGTCTGATGATTGTGAGATAAATATGAAATAGGGTTCTTGACAACTCCAGAGAAGCCGCAAAAATTGGGTACCCCTTCAACACCACTTTCGAGTTTGATTTGGGAACTCTTGAAGATTTTACCTCCGTCTGATGTCAGCTTGATCTACAAGCATTATAAGGACCACAAAGCAAGTGCCACATCAGCATTTTTATCACTAAGTTCTTGGCTTTTAAGCTTTATCTTCTGCTTACCTTTAATTTTGAAATTAGCTTAACACATTGTCATCATTTCCAGAGGGGGAAGATTCCAAGGCACGAGCTAATACAAAAATTAAGGGAAATAGCAAGGGCTTGGTTACTGATTGAAATTATAAAAAGTCTCAGAACTAAGGTATAGTTTATGATTCCATTGACAAACCATAGATCGAAGTATCATAAGGACCACAAAGCAAGTGCCACATCAACATTGTCATCGCTTAGGTCTTGGCTTTTAAGCTTTATCTTCTACTACTTTAATTTTGAAATTAGCTTCACACAATATCATCATTTTCCAGGAGAGGAAGAGTCCAACTAATGAGCTGATACAAAAAATCAGGAAAGTAGCAGGGGATTGGTTGCTGATTGAAATCTTTAAAACTTTCACAACTAAGGTGCGAATTATGATTCCTTTGATAAACAATAGTTCGAAGTATCATAAGGACCACAAAGAAAGTGCCAAATGAACATTGACATCACTTAGTTCTTGGCTTTTAAGCTTTATCTTCTAGATAGCTTTAATTTTGGAATTACCTTAACAGGTTGTCATCATTTTCCAGGAAGGGAAGATTCCAAGGCATGAGCTGATACGAGAATTCAGGCAAGTAGGTGGGGATAGGGTGGTGATTGGAATCATTAAAAGTCTCAAAACTGATGGGATAATTTGAAGGTGAAACACTCACAACTCTAATGAATTTGGTTTAATTACTAACATTCCCCGTAAAACCGAATTCTCTTCCATTAATCATTCCAAGCAGACTCTTGAACTTCTGAAAGGCATCAATCTTGAGAGGTTTCATAAATATATCTGTTACTTGATCTCTTGTCTTCACATGCGACACTTCAATTTCCTTATCTCAGAACTAAGGTGTGGATTACGATTCCTTTGATAAACAGTAGTTCGAACGCACATATAGGCCTTTATGTCAAGTCATGGATAGAGAGAGGTTAGGTTGCAACTTTTACACAACTTGGATGATGCATGGTTTCTGTTGCGGTGAGTTGATAGTGAAAATTGATGTTGACGCGTGGAATAATTGCAGGATAATTATTCTTACTGATTTTTACTGTGGGTGGGTGGATTCATTAGCCTTTGCTTGCCTTAGATATATGCATTTACATTTGGCTTTAGGGTTATAGCCATTATAGTTTGCTATGTATTATATGTTATAGTTCTTTGCACACAAGTTTCTTTTTGATCAAGCAGTTCTCTCTCTCTCTCTCTCTCTCTCTCTCTCTTGTTGGTCATTGATTTAGTGTTATTGTATAGAGAATAAAACATCTCTTTAGCATTGCATACTTACTATACACAAGAGAACTGAGTATAGTTCATTCCGTTTTACAGCAATTTGGGGCGTGAAGAGGCTGATTATGGGAGTATGGATGGACTTGAATGTGAATGGGATGTGAGGGGTGTTAATAAGTTTGGTTTTCATTATTGATGAGTTCCTCGCACACATCAAACCCAGCCAATGGTACACAAGATGTGGACGAGGAGGTGCATTTGGAATCATAGATAGGAAAAAGACTCTTTGGAATTTGTATGATATGCTGATCTTTTGGAATGATTGTGTTTACTTATAATCATCAACTGTAGTTTTTTCTTGGTTCCTATGTCGCATGACTGTTTCCAATGGAGATGGAGACCTTTGGATTTTGTATGATTGGCTTGTCTTTTGGAATATTTGTTTGCTTATGGACCTCAACTGTAGTTTTCCCTTGGTTCCCATGTCACATGACTATATGTTTCTAATAGAGAATGGGAAATCCTAGTGAAAGCAAAACTTTTCTTTGTTTGACATGTTGTGGGAATATTTATTGTATGATCTGTGTAATTACATAGGATATAATAATATTTCCATGAAATAACATGTCACAAGACAACAAGATCTTGAAATTTTGGTGGCAAGCCTCGATAAAAATGGCGGAATAGGGCTTGAGCTAGGAATGTTTAGGGGAAGAGTTATCTCTATCCACCTCTTTTTCAAAATTATGCATCTTTATTCAGCATGGTTCATGATATGTCTATTCAGGTTTCCTTTATGGGAGAGTAGCTTAGAGGTACTATGTGAGCCTGTTTATAAATGGTAGTCGACCTTATCAATGTGGTGGTGCTTGCTTTGCCTTCAAAGGTGCAAAACTGCAACTAAAAGTTTTCCTCCTTTGATAGGTAGCTTAATCTGCGGATTGGAGGTTAGATTCATGCCAAAATTTAGCTTGATTTCAATTGATTAAATTGAAAAAAAAGAAAAAACAAGGTCAGAGAATGTTATGGAAGAAGCCCAAGCCCAAGTCCCTGTATTATCGGTAGTTGGAAGCGGTTTCTATTGGACTCGGACTTGGCTCCGGTAGTAATGATGTAATCGAGTGACAGTTGTAGAGGTTGAAGGTTTGAAACAGGAATGGTTTCATTGAGGGGTATATTCACCTCTGTCTGGTTCCTTTCTTGCTCACTGATATATATATATACCGGAATAGGAACTCTGGACGGCGAAAGGCAATTTAGAAAACCATGTTGTCGAGTTTGGTTTGGACTATTTTTCTCGCCTCTGGGGTTTACTTTTTATCGACTTATGGTTTGCTTTCTTGTGGTTAGGCTAGAGGTGTTTTCTCTTTTTCTAAATAGAAATGGCAAAGTTACTCGGGAATATTTGCGGTCAGTCAGTGTGTAAAGTACGTTAGTGTTATAGCTTGGCTTTCTGTTTAAATGATCCAGGGAAACCTATAAATTTGTTAAAAAAAAGTTCTAACTACCGATGAATTGAGACCAACCCTAATGGACCAAGGCTCGAGTGCCAGAGTTGTGTTAGTTTGCTAGATTCCCGAGCATAGAACTGGGGACTTGAGCACGATCACAACTGCGCCGGACTCGGCCTCAGGAGACCCGATCCCAACTTCTGTGGATTTGGGTTCGGCCTCTAGGACTTGAGCTCGACCACTAAGGACCCGGCCACAAGTGTCGGGTTTCCCATGCTCCAGCGACGACGTCTCTGGTCCAAGCATCCATGTCTGCTCGTACTTCGAAAATTGATTGCTAAAATTTAAAAGAGAAAATCATTTTCCTTAATTTTAGGCCAAGTTTTTCGTTAACTATGAAAAGATTCACCGTTGACTCATTTTTCTAAAGGATTCCAAAGCCGGAAAATGATTCCAGATAGAAAATTTTCCGCGAAATAAATAGTGCTTCAAAAGGAAAATAGTTGCTGGGACTGGATTGCATTCTCTCTTTGACTTCCTTTTCTTTTATGGGAAAGCTGTACTTCTTTGCTTACCGGAAAAAAAGTCTAATCCCAATCTAGTTTTGCTGATTTAGAGTGAACACAAGACAAGAACGATGGATTGATTACGTCAGCCTTACTAGAGTCCTCGATGCCCACGGGACCCCACTGCCCAAGCTTGGGTCCACAGCACTTAAACTTGGAAGACGGAGTTATATGCAAGACTTTTCTGATATATGTGTTTCATAATATTCCCGAATTATTAGTTGAAATGTGACTTCCATATTATTTGTAAAGTACAATAAAAAAATGGGAAATTGAAAATATTTTTTAGCGAAGTTACTTTTCCTTGAAGCGATTCGAGGCTTGAGATTTTTTATTTTTGTTCGAATTGAGACAGTGTTACGATTTTTCAAATAAAGTGGGGCCATTTCTTACAAAGTTCACAGATGTGTGGTGGAAGGACATTTCTAGAGCTGCAGCTTGACAGCACTAAACCTATCCCATGTTTTAATTTTATTCCCTCTTTACCTGATGTGATAAACCCTCTCCCATATTTTAATTCTATTCCTTCTTTAACTAATGAAATAAACCTTATCCCTTGTTTTAATTATATTCCTCCTTTTGCTGATGTAATAAACCTATCTTAACTGGACGAGTAATAATTGTCCTTGCGTTCTAAGTAATTTGATTTTCTTGCTCGGCCAGAAGAGAACATATTCTTTTCTCACCACCATAACTTTTTTCTCAAACAGGGGTAACTTCAAACGAAAGTCAATGGGGAGCCAAATTTGGGATTTAAATGAAAGTTGGTGCTTTTTACGAGAAAAAAGTTCGGCGAATTGTCCTCGACCTAAAGTTGGTGCTTTTTAAGGGAAAAAGTTCTGGCCGAATTTTAATTAATGTAAAATGTTAACTAAACCCTAAGTGAACTTCATCAACATAAATTCATTGACAAAAATTAGTAAAATGTGAGCTAAACCTTAAGTGAACTTTATTGATATAATAAATTCATTGACAAAAATTAGTAAAATGTGAGCTAAACACAAGACAAGAACGATGGATTGATTAAAACGTCAGCCTTACTAGAGTCCTCGATGCCCACGGGACCCCACTGCCCAAGCTTGGGTCCACAGCACTTAAACTTGGAAGACGGAGTTATATGCAAGACTTTTCTGATATACGTGTTTCATAATATTCCCGAATTATTAGTTGAAATGTGACTTCCATATTATTTGTAAAGTATAATAAAAAAAATGGTAAATTGAAAATATTTTTAGCAAAGTTATTTTTCCGTGAAGCAATTCGAGGATTAATTTTTTTTTTTATTTTTGTTCGAATTGAGACGGTGTTACGATTTTTCAAATAAAGTGGGGCCATTTCTTACAAAGTTCACGGATGTGTGGTGGAAAGACATTTCTAGAGCTGCAGCTTGACAGCACTGAACCTATCCCACGTTTTAATTTTATTCCTTCTTTACCTGATGTGATAAAACCTATCCCATGTTTTAATTCTATTCCTTCTTCAACTAATGTAATAAACCTTATCCCTTGTTTTAATTATATTCCTCGTTTTGCTGATGTAATAAACCTATCTTAACTGGACGAGTAATAATTGTCCTTCCGTCTTAAGTAATTTGATTTTCTTGCTCGGCCAGAAGAGAACATATTCTTTTTCTTTTTCGGACATAAAATCTCTTTTACCTCTTTTTGACATCTTGGGGAGAAAAAGATGCCATAAATATAGGAGTATGCAAAACGGACCGCTGGACAGGGCCGTTGTATTGATTACGTCAGCCTTACTAGAGTCCTCGATGCCCACGGGACCCCACTGCCCAAGCTTGGGTCCACAGCACTTAAACTTGGAAGATGGAGTTATATGCAAGACTTTTATGATATATGTGTTTCATAATATTCCCGAATTATTAGTTGAAATGTGACTTCCATATTATTTGTAAAGTATAATAAAAAAAAGGGAAATTATATATATTTTTTAATTTTTTTCAAAAATTAGTAAAATGTTAACTAAACCGTAAATGAACTTCATCGACATCAATTCATTGACAAAAATTAGTAAAATGTGACCTAAACCCTAAGTGAACTTTATTGATATAAATTCATTGACAAAAATTAGTAAAATCCTGAACTAAACCTCTAACTGCTTGACCAAAAACTATAGAACCAAACTCTAAGTACCGCCTTCCGGTCTAGGAACAACGCCGGTCGGCCCCAAAATTGGGAACATATTCTTTCTTTCCGGTAAAACGTTCCACCTTAGAATCTTGAACCGACGGAACCGATCACCCTAATAAATATCGCTTTGCTCTGCAAATCGAAAAACAAACGTATAAATGTACTATATTGTCCAATTATTGATTAATAAAGTGAGTTGAAGGCAATCGATATATCCATTGTTTTCGTTATTGCAAATCGAAAGAGAACATTACTGGATCCCATATCATTGTAATTGCACGAAACTCAATTTTCATTTTATTGAATTTATATACACTTTACTTGATAGCTCGCATAAACTATGAAGAAATGATAGGCTGGTCATTACTTGAGAAATTTGTCTACGAAATTACATCAATTATTCTTATTTATGAAACAGCTCAATGTGTTCATAACAAAGTTCTTCGTTAGAAGCTTAACGTAATAGTTGAAGATGAGCCATATTACCTAAGCCCTTATCTACGAACCGACTTTCCAATAATTTGTTGACTTCTCTTTTTTGTCTCTCTCAACCACCCATTTTGCTTCTCCTTATCAAGAAATGTCTATTCTTTGCTCATAGGCAATGAGTTAGATGTCCACGCGAACCAAAAGAGGCAAATAATACTAAGAATTCGACACGTAACTAGCAAACAACGAGATAAAGTGATTTAGCCATGAAATTAAAAAATATTGTGATGCACCTATTGAAGTATTCATTAGAAGTTGACATGTCTCTTTTGTTTATTTTAAGCTAAATGGCAATCTTGGCTTCTCCTTAATTCAAAAACGTCTGTACATTTTTCAATTTTAGTGCACAAATTGTCAAAAAAAAACGTCTGTACATTTTTCAATTTTAGTGCACAAATTGTCAATAATATATACTACGAAACGAATTTTCTTGCTTAGTTCCTCGTCATAACTCCAGCACACATCAATAGAATGTTTATTTATGACATAATATACGAACATTTGAAGGCTTAATTAATTCTGCAAAGGGAAGACAAGATTTTCAATTTCAAGTTCCTGGTCATGCATGACACAAGGAAGACGATGTTTGATTATTAAACCGGCCTCGTTAACTTGTGCTGTTTTTGTTCCGAACCAAATCTTCTTTGTTTAAATATTCAACAAGTACGCTTAGATTTCCTTTTAATTCCAAAAAAAAAAAGAATTCATTAATTGTTCCATAGCAGTGTTAACAACCGACACTGCCAGAAAAAAGAAAAATGAAGAAGATCGTAGATACAATACGTGGGCCGGTGGATGTGTTGGAGGCACGAGAGAGAAGGCTGTTCCGTTGGTTTTCTTCTTCAAAATCCTCCTCTTATAAACTCAAACACGCCTCTTCCTCTTGTTCATGCAAAAGAAAAATTCAAACCCTACTCTCATTCGATTTCGCCATTCACGTACTTAATCCATTGCAGACGTTACGCACACTCGCCGACCAACCACCATTTCTCTCGTTCCAGAAACTGGGTATGAGTCCTTCTTCTTCTTGCTTTGATCGGAATCTTTATCGAAGCCCACAGAATTCGATCTCCCGAAAGCCTCTATAAGCTTCCAGACATGCGCACCCTTGTTTCTGAGAATTAGATTTCAACTTTCTCATTTCGTGTTCGGTCGCTCTGTTTGTTTTCCATCTTTTCGTGCTTCACTCGAGGACCAGACCTCGAGAATCAGTCCTTTAGTGCTTTTGGTTGGCATATCGTCAGGCTCTGTTTTGCAGCTGCGATCACTCCATGGACTGAAAGCTTTGGGTCTTCGTTGTTTCTGTGTTTCGGTTGTTATCTGTTCAATTGGTACCATTTTGCGTTAGCTTTTCGTTCTAGCAGTAGTAAAATTTTTGTGAATCGCTTCGTTTTTGTTTTTTTTCGGACACAGTATTTTGAGACGTTCCATCTGCGGTCAAGAATGGTGCACTACATGCATCAATGTCGGTCACCAACTCTCCAGACCGCGAATCCTGATGCAGTAGCACTCGAATTCAACCGTCCGGCAATTGATCTCAATCGTCTGGCTCAGGACGATCAGATGGACGATCAGGATCCGAATTCATCCGTCTCCAATTGCAGGACTATTGTCTCTGCCGGTCAATCCGGCACTCCTCCGTTTCTGTTCATCGGCAGCGGGTTGATGGAACTTGGCGAGAGAGACAAGGCCTATCGCCTTATCAAGGAGAGATTTGTTTCGAGGCTAGCTGCGTCTGGGGTGCAAGTTACCTTGGTGGCAATCCACCAGAATTGCTACTCTGGTGTCTCGGCGAAAGGACGGGCCCAAGCGTTTCAAGTTCACTCGCAGGCAGTGCAGATGAGAGGTGGTGACAACACTGCCAACATAGTGCACGCGTGGTACGCCACCTCGAAGGAAGAGGTATCCAAGATCTTGTCCTATGGATTTGGCTACAGTGGGAAGCCTGAGAACAATGGCTTGTATGGTTGTGGAGTTTATTTGGCTCCTCATGATCATCTTCTCGAAAGGTACCGTAGTTCTTCTTCTTTTCCCTTTAATTGCGTAAACAATTGAGAGATACTATTTGAAAAATTGCAATATCATGAAGATATGTTAATTTGGCATATTATTGTACTTCCCTTTCAAGGTATGATCAATTAAATCAAATACAAGTAGTATATTTCTCGAGCATATGTGTCTTGACTCATGTTAGTATGATGTGCATGTGATGATATAGGCCTTAGTTTCTTTGTAATGCTTTGGCAATGTTGAATACGCCCTTAATAATTGCACAAATAAACGAGAGGTTAGGTTTGGAAAATGGTAATGTGATGAAGATATGTTGATTTAGCTTGTTAGTGTATTTCCCTTTTAAGCCGTGATCGGTTAAATTTATAGAACGTGCATGTTTCAAGAGTATGACGTTTGTTGGCTCATGTTAGTATGTCGTGCATGTGATGATATTGGAGTTAGATAGTTTCTTTGTAATGCTTTGGCAGTGTTAAATCCGCTTCTATCGATGAAGATGGCCTGAGGCATCTTTTGCTTTGCCGGGTCATACTGGGGAAATCGGAGCTTGTCAGTCCTGGCTCGGAACAGTCTCATCCCAGTTCGGAGGAGTTTGACTCGGGAGTCGACGACTTATCATCTCCTAGGAGATACATTGTTTGGAGCACCCATATGAATACTCACGTGTTGCCGGAGTACATTGTCAGCTTTAAAGCCCCTTGTTGCTGGAGAGGTAATAAAATTTTCTTTCTCATTCGTGCTTTTGCATCGACCATTTTTGTGTGTTTGACTTTGTCCGTTCAATCAACCATATTTGATGATTTGTGAGATAAATATGAAATAGGGTGCTTGGCAACTCCGGAGAAGTCATTGAAATCGACTTCCACTTGGATACCATTTCCGGTTATGATTTCGGAACTCTAAAAAATCTTACCTCCATCTCGTGTCAGTTTAATCTCCAAGTATCATAAGGACTTCAAAGTAAGTGCCACATCGGCATTGTCATCATTTGGTTCTTGGCGTTCAAGATTTGTTTTTTGCTTACCTTTAATTTTGAAATTAGCCTAACACATTATCATCATTTTCCAGGAGAGAAAGATTCCAAGGCATGAGCTGATACAAAAATTCAGGCAAATAGCAGGGGACAGGTTGCTGAGCGGAATCTTTGAAAATCTCAGAACTAAGGTGTGGATTATGATCCCTTTAATAAATAGTAGTTTGAATGCACATCTATGTCTTTGGTGTCAAGTCATGGATAGAGCGAGCTTAGGTTGCATCGGAATACATTTGATGATAGTTTTACACTGAGTTGTTAGTGAAAACTGAAATCACCAGGAGGAATAATTGCAGGATAATTATTCTTATTGATTTTTAGTGTGGGTGGGTTGGTTATTGTTCTTTTCTCGCTTTAGATATATGCATTTACATTGGCGTTAAGGTTATTGCCATTTTTTTCTGCTATGGATTATATGGTAGCATTCTTTGCATGCAAGTTTCTTTTTGATCAAGTAGATCTCTCTGTCTCTCTCTCTCTATTGGTTGTGGGTCATTGATTTAATATCATTCTATAGAGAACAAACATCAGTTTAGCATAGGTATACACAAAGAAGAGAGTGTAATTTGTTCCGTTCTACAGCAATTTGGGGCGTCAAGCGGCTGATTATGGTATTGTGGATGGACTTGATAATGAATGAGGTGTGAGGCGTGTTAATAAGATTGGTTTTCATTTTGATGAGTTCCTAGCACACATCAGTCCGAGGCAATGGTACACAAGATGTGGAGGAGGAGGCCCATCCGGCATCATAGATAGGAAAAAGAATCCTTTGGAATTTTTTTAATCTGCTGATATTGGTATATTTGTGTTTGCTTCTAATCATCAGCTATAGTTTTCTCCTGGTTCTTATGTCACATGACTGTTTGTTTCCAATAGGGATGGAGACCATTGGAATTTGTATGATTGGCTTTTGGAATATTTGTTTGCTTATGTTCCTTAGGCGTAGTTTTTTCTTGGTTTCTATGTCACATGAAAGCAAAACTTTTCTTTGTTTGACATGTTATGGAAATATTCATGGTATGATCTACGCAATTATGTAGGAGATAATTACATTTCCATCTAATGACGTGCCACAACACGACCAAATTCTAAAAATTTTTCGGCAAGACTTGATAAAAATGGTGGAATAGTGCTTTAGCTAGTAGGGTTTATGAGGCCTTAGTTGCAATAATAAGCGATCTAATGCGGTGATACCGACCAGCTAAGCTTAGGTCAAGGTTTGGGTTGGCATAAAATGATTCCTGTAATGCCGTTTTGGCATAGGCATGGTCACTGGGGTCTAGAACCCGACCTTGAGGGATTTGGTCCCAGCTGAGTACTCGGGCACAATTGTTGGGGATCCAAGCATGGGCATTGGGGACTTAGTCACAATGTTGAGGGACCTAGGCCCAGCTTTTGAGTACCGAGCCTAGCTGTCGAGGAACTGGGACTGACCTCGATGGACTTATAGCCTTAGTGCCGGTGACTTGTGCGTGGTCCTAGGTACTCGAGCATGGAACCCGGACCCGAGCATGGGCGCCAGTGAATTGGGCCCGACCTCGAGAGACCCAAGCCGAACTACTATGGACTTGGGCTTGGCCTCTAGGACTTGAGCCCAATCGCTAAAGACCCGGGCACAAGTGTTGGAATTCCCTTGCTCGAGTGCCGAGGTCTCCGGTCTAAGCCTCCATGTCAAGTCAAATTTTCAAAAATTGATTTCTAAATTTTATAAAAGGAAATCATTTTCCTTAATTTCTGGCTAGGTTTTCCATTGATTACAAAAAGAATTTCGTTTAAGCGATCAAAATGTCGAAACATAATTTCCAATAAAAATTTTCCTGTGAAACAAATAGAACTTTAAAAAGAAAATAGTTGTTGGGAGTGGATTGCATTTTCTCCTTTACTTTCTTTTCTTTTATGGGAAAGCTGTACTTCTTTGCTTGCCGGAAAAAGGTCTAATCCCAAACCACTCTTGCAGGTTTAGAATGAGGACAAAACAAGAATGACGGATTGATGAAGCCAACTTTGTTGTTTTCCTTATTTTTCCATTTCTTTTTTGAGAAATTATATAATGATAGGATATACTTTTCCTAGTCAGTGCGAAAATAGCAATTTCCAGCAGAAGAAGAAAGAATCAGGTATTTACTAATTAGGAAAAACCATTCATAGTACAACTTATTGTTGAAACCTAACCAAAGACGCCGCCAATTCCATCCTTGACTAATTCAATCAAATTAAATTATCAATCTCAAATACCATAATTATTCTAAAGAAAGGTTGTGTTGATAAGATGTTATAATCTTAAATCCACTAATACTTTGCTTGGTTAAGTAATATCGGAAGGATAGTCATTGATACTTTGATAGGTATCTAAGGTAACTCGCCTATTTTGGTGGTGTGAATTTCAATTTCACTATAACCAAAGAGATTATATTACTCTTTTTATATTGACAAGGGTGGCGAGTGGCATCAGTGACAGCAACGGCACTGAATGTTACCGTAAGGGCCATCGACTATGGGATATTCAGTTTGAGCCATAGTAATTTCGCACTACTCGCGACTAGAAGGTCTGAGATTGACAAGCTTGTCACCACAGCCTTACCAAAATGCTAGTAACTAGGAAGTTTCACTACACAATGTATGTCGCAGCTAATCAATGAGAATGAGCCGTTTCGAAGTCTTCCAATGATGTGAATTGAATGAGTGACCTTGTGCAAAAGATTAAATTACTCCACTAGACATAGTTATATACTTTGTTTTGGGCCGCAACTAATATTACTTGATCATTTTTCAGCGGAATAAAATGAAGATTTGAAATTAATTTAACTATAAAAAATTAGAGAGTTTCCACAGTGAGTGATACTTAACTTGATTAAAAGAGATTTTTCAAAATTTAATTTGACTAAGAACGGAATTGTTTTTTGGTCGAAACTAAGAATGGAGTTTTTTTTTATATTGTCCCATCTCTAACTTTCCTCACTTTCTGATTTATGCTCTGCCTATGCGGGAGTCGAACCCCACATTTGTGATACTAGCGTCCCCACCCCCGCAAACCCTTTGCCAATAGGGCCACGTGCCTACTAAATTGCAGTATTCATTAAACACATTGGTCTGTGTGCAATCTCTTGCTCTTAAGCCCGCCTTTGAGATATTTGCTTCTTGAAAAGTTGCAGTATTCACAAAAAATAAATGATTTGAAAAATATTTTCTTAAAATTATTGCTCGTATCATTTACAAATGTGAATGAACGAAAAATATTTCCATCGTCCATGAAAATATTTAGATATAACTTATTATCTATAATGAAAATAGTTTTCATTGACTAATTACACCTTGAAACTCCAGTCACCGCCGTCCATGGCCACGAGCTCGAGTGGTTATGGCGGCTTTGGGCTTGTACTCTAGCTTGGGAAACCATGGCAGTGAGCTCTAGATTTGGTAAGCTCCAGATGTGAAATCACAAGTGGCCCGAGCCCGGAGAGAGAGAGTGAGAACCATTGTACGCGAACACCACTCGCCATGGTAATTTGGCTGATGGGTCTTTGCAAATTCTTCTCCCATCAATGCACCATGAACTGCCGCATGCCTACTAATAAGTTGCGTATGGTTGTTAGGATTTGAGTTTGCATAAGATAACAATTTATCATATCCGGTGTTTGACAACGCCCTCCGGACCTAATAAACTCGGATATATCCGAATAAAACGCTGAATAAGAAATCCGGGGTAGGAGATGTGATAAACTAAGATTGGATGAAAAAAATTTAAATAGTTACTCAACAAAACAAGGAAATCATTGTCACTACAGATGACCGTGTAATCACCGATGCCTCCGACCACCGCCAATAGTCATCATCGGCGAGCCGATCTTATATTTTATTTTTCATTTTTCGTCTTTTATTTTTTTTTCTTTAAAAAAAATCAAATTTTTCGTTATTTTTCTTTTTCTTTTTTTGTTATTGTCTTTGCTTCTCCTTCGGCCGGCCATAGGCGAGTTCACCGAAATCTTGAGCTCACCAATCTGGCAAGATTCGAACCTCGCCGATCTGGCGAGGGTCAAGTAAGCTGGCTTCCGGCGGGCTCGACCTCTTCGGATCTGGAGAGGTAGAACCTCGGCTCAAGCTCGCCTGTGGCCGATCGCCAGTCGTTGTCGTGGCCGGCGATCGGCCGAAGAAGAAGAAAAAAGAAAAATAAAGAAAATAAAGAAATAAAACAAATAAAAGTAAAAAAATTATTAAAAGGAGTGCAAAGAGGAAAATCAAATCAGAATCGAACCAACCGGCTGAAAATATTTTTTAGTACATTTTCAGGTTTTAGCCAAACACTAGAAAATATAGTCATTTTCTGGAAAATGACTTCATAGAAAACATTTTCCAGAAATGTCACATTTTTCGCGAAACAAACGGAGCCTAATTGTCAATAATACGAAAGGATTATTTCTAGTTTAGTTCCTCATCATAGCTTCGGCACCCACCAATAGAATATTTATTTATGATGTTATATATGAGCATTAGGAGATTTAATTAATTCTTTGAATGAGCGACAACCATCGCCTTCTCAATCATAAATATTTTACCTTTTTTGTTTCACCAGTACATTCGTTTTTTTAATCAAACCCCAATACATTCTATTATTTAAACGGTCGCGTGATCTTTTGTTTTTCACCGATTGATTCTCTACCGATTATTAAACTGTTTTGGCACGGAAATATTTTACCTTTCATGTTTCACCCAAGATTCTACACCAATTACTAAGCTGGTTTTGTTAACTAGCGCTTTAACGGTATTCATTAATCTTACTTGATAAAGATGGATTTTCATTTGCAACTTCCTGGTCACGCACAACACACAAGGGAGACAATGGTTGAAAATGACAAATTTTCTTTATTTAATATTCAACAAGCGTTTCAGAACACTTGTTAACACCCGACACCGTCAGATAAAAAGACAAATCAAGAAGATTGTTGAGACAATTCTTCTTCAAAATCCTATTGTGTGGGTGGGTGTGTGAGAGGAACGAGAGAGAAGGCTGTTCTGCTTGTTTTCTTCTTCAAAATCCTCCCCTTTTAAACTCAAACTCGCCTCTTCCTCTTATTATTTAAGCAAAAGAAAAAACTTAAAACCCTACTCTCTCTTTCAATCTCGCCACTCTCACATTCACTCCGCAGCAGACGTTACGCGCCCACGCGGACCAACCTTCATTTCTCTCGTTCGAGAAATCAAGTACGAGTCCTTCTTCTTCTTGCTTTGATCGGTATCTTTCTTGAAGCCCACAGAATCCGATCTGCTGAAAGCCTCTATAAGCTTCCCGAGATGCGTACCCGTGTTACTGAGAATTAGATTTTCAACTTTCTCGTTTCATGTTCTCGCTCTGTTTGTTTTCATCTCCTTGCATCATTCCACGACCAGACCTTGAGAATCAGTCGCTTAGTGCTTTTGGTTGGCAATTCGTGAGGTTCTGTTTTGCAACTGCGATCCCTCCATGACTAAAAGCTTCGGATCTTCATTCGTTCCGTGTGTCGATTGTTCTTTCTTCAATCCGTACCATCTTTGCGGTAGTTTTTCGTTTTAGCAGTAGTAAAATTTTTGTGAATCGCTTCCTTTTTTTTTTTTTTTTTTAACACAGTTCTTTGGGACTTCTCTCTTCGGTCAAGAATGACGCACTATACGCATGGATGTCGTTCACCCACTGTACACACGGCCACTCCTGATGCAGTGGCACGTAAATTCAACCATCCGGTAATTGATCTCAACCGTCCACCTCTGGACGATCCGATGGACGATCATGATCCGAATTCATCCGTCATCGATTGCAAGAGTGTTGTCTCTGCTGATCAATCTGGCACTCCTCCGTTGCTGTTCAACGGCAGTATGTTGGTGGAACTCAGCGAGGGACACAAGGTCCACCGCCTTATCAAAGAGGACTTCTCGAGGCTAGCTGCGCTTGGGATGCAAGTTACCTTGGTGGCAATCCACGCGAATTGCTGCTCTGATGTCTCGGCAAAAGCACGGTACCAAGCGTTTCAAGTTTACTCAAAGGCAGTGCAGAAGAAAGGCGGCGACAACACTGCCAACGTGAAATGCGCATGGTATGCGGCTTCGAAGGAAGAGGTATTCAAGATCTTGTCCAATGGTTTTGGCTACAGTGGGAGGCCTGAGAACAATGGCTTGTATGGTTGTGGATTTTATTTTGCTCCTTATGGTTATCCTCTTGAAGGGTACCCAAATTTGATTCTTTTCCCTTTTATTCCGTAAATAATTGAGAGATAGTATTTGGAAAATGGTACAATCACGGAGATAAGCTAATTTAGCGCGTTAGTATATTTCCCTTTCATGCTATGATCGGTTAAATCCAATACAAGGAGTATATTTCGCGAGCATATTGTTTCTTGACTCATCTTAGTATGTTGTGCATGTGATGACATAGGCCTTAATTATCCTTGTAATGCTTTTGCAATTTAAATCTGCCCTATTAAATGCATAAATAATCGAGAGAGATACTGCTTGGAAAGTGGTACGATCACGAAGATACGTTGATTCAGCGCGTTAGTTTATTTCCCTTCTAAGCTATGATCGGTTAAATCTATAGAATGAGTTTGTTTCACGAGCATGTTGTTTCTCGACTCATGTTAGTATGCTGTGCATGTGATGATATTGCTCTTAGATAGTTTCTCTGTAATGCTTCGGCAGTGTAATATCCACTCCTTCAGATGAAGATGGCCTAAGGCATCTATTGCTTTGTCGGGTTATACTGGGGAAATCAGAGCTTGTCAGTCCTGGTTCGGAACAATCTCATCCCTGTTCGGAAGAGTACGACTCGGCCGGCAACAGCTTATCTTTTTTGACGAGATTCAGAATTCAGAGCAGTCATCTGAACACTCGCGTGTTGCCGATGTACATTGTGAGCTTTAGATTCCCTTCTTGCTCGAGAGGTAATAAAATCTTCTTTCTCAATCCTACTTTTACATCGACCGTGTTTGTGCGTTTGACTTTGTTTGTCCTATCAACCACGTCTGACGATTGTGAGATAAATATGAAATAGGGTTCTTGACAACTTCGAAGAAGCCGCAAAAATTGAGTACCCCTTCGACACCACTTTCAAGTTTGATTTGGGAACTCTTGAAGATCTTACCTCCATATGATGTTAGCTTGATCTACAAGTATCATAAGGACCACAAAGCAAGTGCCACGTCTAAATTTTTATCACTAAGTTCTTGGCTTTTAAGCTTTATCTTCTGTTTACCTTTAATTTTGAAGTTAGCTTAACACATTGTCATCATTTCTAGTGGGGGAAGATTCCAAGGCACGAGCTGATACAAAAATTAAGGGAAGTAGCAAGGGATTGGTTGCTGATTGAAATTATAAAAAGTCTCAGAACTAAGGTATAGTTTATGATTCCATTGACAAACCATAGTTCGAAGTATCATAAGGACCGCAAAGCAAGTGCCACATCAACATTGTCATCGCTTAGTTCTTGCTTTTAAGCTTTATCTTCTGCTACTTTAATTTTGAAATTAGCTTAACACAATGTCATCATTTTCCAGGAGAGGAAGAGTCCAACTCACGAGCTGATACAAAAAATCAGGAAAGTAGCAGGGGATAGGTTGCTGATTGAAATCTTTAAAACTTTCACAACTAAGGTGTGAATTATGATTCCCCTGACAAACAGTAGTTCGAAGTATCACAAGGACCACAAAGCAAGTGCCACATCAACGTTGACATCACTTAGTTCTTGGCTGTTAAGCTTTATCTTCTACGTAGCTTTAATTTTGAAATTAGCTTAAGAGGTTATCATTTTTTTCCAGGAAGGGAAGATTCCAAGGCATGAGCTGATACGAGAATTCAGGCAAGTAGGTGGGGATAGGGTGGTGATTGGAATCATTAAAAGTCTCAAAACTGATGAGATAATAACACTCACAACTCTAATGAATTTGGTTTAATTACTAACATTCCCCGTTAAACCAAATTCTCTTCCATGAATCATTCCAAGCAGACTCTTGAACTTCCGAAATGCATCAATCTTGAGAGGTTTCATAAACATATATGTTATTTGATCTCTTGTCTTCACATGCGACACTTCAATTTCCTTCTCTCAGAACTAATGTGTGGATTATGATTCCTTTGATAAACAGTAGTTCGAACACACATCTAGGCCTTTATGTCAAGCCATGGATAGAGAGAGGTTAGGTTGCAACTTGAATGATGGTTTCTGTTGCGGTGAGTTGATAGTGAAAATTGATGTTGACACGAGGAATATAAGCGGGGTAATTATTCTTACTGATTTTTCCTATGGGTGGGTGGATTCATTAGGCTTTGCTTGCCTTACATATATGCATTTACATTTGGCTTTAGGGTTATATCCATTATAGTTTGCTATGTATTATATGTTATAGTTCTTTGCACACAAGTTTCTTTTTTATCAAGCAGATCTCTCTCTCTCTCTCTCTCTCTCTCTCTGTTGTTGGTCATTGATTTAGTGTTATTATATAGAGAACAAAACATCTCTTTAGCATTGGATACTTACTACACACAAGAGAACTGAGTATAGTTCATTCCGTTTTATAGCAATTTGGGGCGTGAAGAGGCTGATCATGGGAGTATGGATGGACTTGAATGTGAATGGGATGTGAGGGGTGTTAATAAGTTTGGTTTTCATTATTGATGAGTTCCTAGCACACATCAACATGAGCCAATGGTACACAAGATGTGGACGAGGAGGTGCATTTGGAATCATAGATAGGAAAAAGACTCTTTTGGAATTTGTATGATATGCTGATCTTTTGGAATGTTTGTGTTTACTTATAATCATCAACTGCAGTTTTTTCTTGGTTCCTATGTCGCATGACTGTTTCCAATGGAGATGGAGACCTTTGGAATTTGTATGATTGGCATGTCTTTTGGAATATTTGTTTGCTTATAAACCTTAACTGTAGTTTTCCCTTGGTTACCATGTCACATGACTATTTGTTTCTAATGGAGAATGGGAAATCCTAGTGAAAGCAAAACTTTTCTTTGTTTGATATGTTGTGGGAATATTTATTGTATGATCTGTGTAATTACATGGGATATAATAACATTTACATGAAATAACATGTCACAACACAACCAGATCCTGAAATTTCGATGGCAAGCCTCGATAAAAATGGCGGAATAGGGCTTGAGTTAGGAATGTTTAGGGGAAGATTTATGTCTATCCACCTCTTTTTAAAAATTATGCATCTTTTTTCAGCATGGTCCATGATTTGTCTATTCAAGTTTCCTTTATGGGAGAGTAGCTTAGAGGTACCATGTGAGCCTATTTATAAATGGTTGTCGAACTTATCAATGTGGTGGTGCTTGCTTTGCCTTCAAAGATGCAAAACTACAACTAAAAGTTTTCCTCCTTTGATAGGTAGCTTAATCTGCGGATTGGAGGTTAGATTCATGCCAAAATTTAGCTTGATTTCAATCGATTGAATTGAAAAAAACAAGGTCAGAGAATGTTATGGAAGAAGCCCAATCCCAAGTCCCTGTATTATCGATAGTTGGAAGCGGTTTCTATTGGACTTGGACTTGGCTCCGGTGGTAATGATGTAATCGAGTGACAGTTGTTGAGGTTGAAGGTCTGAAACAGGAATGGTTTCATTGAGGGGTATATTCACCTCTATCTGGTTCCTTTCTTGCTCACCGATAGATATACTGGAATAGGAACTCTGGACGGCAAAAGGCAATTTAAACAACCATGTTGTCGAGTTTGGTTTGGACTAATTTTCTCGCATGTGGGGTTTGCTTTTTATCGACGTACGGTTTGCTCTCTTGTGGTTAGGCTAGAGACATTTTCTCTTTTTCTAAATAGAAATGGCAATATCACTCGGGGATATTTGCGGTCAGTTAGTGTGTAAAGTAAATTAGTGTTGTAGCTGACCTTTCTGTTTAAATGATCCAGGGAAACCTGTACATTTGTTAAAAAAAGTTCTAGCTACCGATGAATTGAGACCAACCCTGATGGACCAAGGCTCGGGTGCTAGTAAGTTGTGTGCGTTTGCTAGATTCCCGAGCATGGAACTGGGGACTTGAGCACAAGCACAACTGCGCTGGGCCCAGCCTCAAGAGACCCGATCCCAACTTCTATGGATTTGGGTTCAGCCTCTAGGACTCGAGCTCGACCACTAAGGACCTGGCCACAGGTGTCGGGTTTCCATGCTCCAGCAACGATGTCTCTGGTCTAAGCATCCATGTCTACTTGTACTTTGAAAATTGATTTCTAAAATTTAAAAGAGAAAATCATTTTCCTTAATTTCAGGCCAAGTTTTCCGTTAACTATGAAAAGATTCACCGTTGACTCATTTTTCTATGGGATTCCAAAGCCGGGAAATGATTACAGATAGAAAATTTTTCGCCAAATAAATAGTGCTTCAAAAGGAAATTAGTTGCTGGGATTGGATTGCATTCTCTCTTTGGCTTCCTTTTCTTTTATGGGAAAGCTATACTTCTTTGCTTACCGGAAAAAAAGTCTAATCCCAATCTAGTCCTGCTGATTTAGAGTGAACACAAAACAAGAACGATGGATTGATTATGCCAGCCTTACTAGAGTCCTCGATGCCCACGGGACCCCACTGCCTAAGCTTGGGTCCTCAGCACTTAAATTTGGAAGACGGAGTTGTATGCGAGACTTTATGTGTTTCATAATATTCCCGAATTATTAGTTGAAATGTGACTTCCATATTATTTGTAAAGTATAATAAAAAAAACGGGAAATTGAAAATATTTTTTAGCAAAGTTATTTTTCCGTGAAGAAATTCGAGGCTTAAATTTTTTTTATTTTTGTTCGAATTGAGACGGTGTTACGATTTTTCAAATAAAGTGGGGCCCTTTCATACAAAGTTCACATAGGGGTGTAAACGGTTCGGTTCGGTTCGGTTTTCTTGAAAAACCAAACCGAACCGAACCGTTAAGGGTTCCTCCTTGAACCGAACCAAATAGGAACCGAACCGAATTGGAACCGAACCGATAAGCCGATTTTATTCGGTTTGGTTCGGTTTTCAATTTCTTCTTCTTTTTTATTCGGTTCGATATGGCTGTGCAATAATCTCTCGCCCAAGGCACAGGGTCAGAGACGACTTGGAGCGGACGATGCAGAGAAACGAAAACACTACCACACAGATCGACCGCCATTGAAACACCCACCTCACAACCTCCGCCACCACCACCCACCCGCCCACCCCCGCCGCCATTTCCCCTCTCCTCCGCCCCTCCTCCTCCCCCTCCCCCTCCTTCCACCGCCGCGACCTCGACTTTCTGGCGAGCCCCTTTTTTCGGCCCTCAACCTCGCCGTTTACCCGAGCAAATTCGCTCAAGCGAAGCCTCTGTTTTGATCGGTTTAGGCTAGCTTGAGTTGAGCCCGCATTCACTTGGAATCTGACTCGGGTGCGGCTCGATTTTGATCAGCTCCCGGGCCGAATTCGATGGAGCCGACAGCTCTAACCCTAGCCGGATCCGCCGACGCCGCGCTGGAGTCGCTCCTCCCAGAGGACATCCGGCGCCTGATAGCCCCGCCGCCGGAGAGCGCCAGTTCCTTCACAGCGCTCCTCGAGCTCCCCCCGACCTGGGCCCTTGAGCTCCTCCACTCGCCCGAGGCGCCTAATTCGCGGGGCGTCGCCGTCTTCGGCGACCCCGCGAGGCTGTTCCTGCACTGCCTCGGCGACGGCGGCGGCGGTGGCGGCAATTGCAAGGTTGAGGCTTGGGACTCGAGCGAGTCGATGGGGAGGAAGAAGAAGAAGAGCAGGGACGGCGGCGAGAGGAAGAGTGTGGAGGGCCGTGAGGATGGTCTTGGCGAGAGGAAGAGTGTTTACTTCAGTTCGGTTCGATCCGAACTGATCCGAACCGAACTGAAATAAACCGAACTAAAAAAAAAAATTGGTTAATTTTGATGATCCGAACCGAAACCGAAACCGAACCGAAATGTACGAAATTTTCGGTTCGGTTCAGTTCGGTTCGGTTCGGTTCGTATCTCGGTTCGATTTTCCGGTTCGGTTCTGACATCCCTAAGTTCACATATGTGTGGTGGAAGGACTTTTCTAGGGCTGCAGCTTGACAGCACTAAACCTATCCCATGTTTTAATTTTATTCCTTCTTTACATGATGTGATAAACCCTATCCCATGTTTTAATTCTATTCCTTCTTCAACTAATGTAATAAACCTTATCCCTTGTTTTAATTATATTCCTCCTTTTGCTGATGTAATAAACCTATCTTAACTGGACGAGTAATAATTGTCCTTCCGTCTTAAGTAATTTGATGTTCTTGCTCGGCCAGAAGAGAACATATTCCTTTTCTTTTTCGTACATAAAATCGTTTTTACCTCTTTTTGACATCTTGGGGAGAAAAAAGATGCCATAAATATCGCTTGCTGTGCAAAACAAAAAGCAAATGTATAAATGTACTACACTGTCCAATTATTGATTAATAAAGTGAGTTGAAGGCAATCGATACATCCGTTGTTTTCATTATTGCAAATCGAAAGAGAACACTAGTGGATCCCATATTATTGTAATTGCACGAAACTCAATTTTCATATTATTGAATTTATATACACTTTACTTGATAGCTCGCATAAACTATGAAGAAATGATAGGCTGGTCATTACTTGAGAAATTTGTCTACGAAATTACATCAATTATTCTTATTTATCAAACAGCTCAATGTGTTCATAACAAAGTTCTTCGCTAGAAGCTTAACGTAATAGTTGAAGATGAGCCATATTACCTAAGCCGTTATCTACGAACCGACTTTCCAATAATTTGTTGACTTCTCTTTCTTGTCTCTCTCAACCACCCATTTTGCTTCTCCTTATCAAGAAATGTCTATTCTTTCCTCATAGGCAATGAGTTAGATGTCCACGCGAACCAAAAGAGGCAAATAATACTAAGAATTCGACACGTAACTAGCAAACAACCTGATAAATCGATTTAGCCATGAAATTCAAAAATATTGTGATGCACCTATTGAAGTATTCATTAGAAGTTGACATGTCACTTTTGTTTATTTTAAGCTAAATGGCAATCTTGGCTTCTTCTTAATTCAAAAACATCTGTACATTTTTCAATTTTAGTGCACAAATTGTCAATAATACTACGAAACGAAATTTTCTTGCTTAGTTCCCCGTCATAACTCCAGCACACATCAATAGAATGTTTATTTATGACATAATATACGAACATTTGAAGGCTTAATTAATTCTGCAAAGGGAAGACAAGATTTTCAATTTCAAGTTCCTGGTCATGCATGACACAAGGAAGACGATGTTTGATTATTAAACCGGCCTTGTTAACTTGTGCTGTTTTTGTTCGGAACCACATCTTCTTTGTTTAAATATTCAACAAGTACACTTAGATTTCCTTTTAATTTCAAAAAAACAAAAAGAATTCATTAATTGTTCCATAGCAGTGTTAACAACCGACACTGCCAGAAAAAAGAAAAATGAAGAAGATCGTAGATACAATACGTGGGCCGGTGGATGTGTGAGAGGCACGAGAGAGAAGGCTGTTCCGTTGGTTTTCTTCTTCAAAATCCTCCTCTTATAAACTCAAACACGCCTCTTCCTCTTATTCATTCAGAGAAATACTTTAAACCCTACTCTCATTCGATTTCGCCATTCACGTACTTAATCCATTGCAGACGTTACGCACACTCGCCGACCAACCACCATTTCTCTCGTTCCAGAAACTGGGTATGAGTCCTTCTTCTTCTTGCTTTGATCGGAATCTTTATCGAAGCCCACCGAATTCGATCTCCCGAAAGCCTCTATAAGCTTCCAGACATGCGCACCCTTGTTTCTGAGAATTAGATTTCAACTTTCTCATTTCGTGTTCGGTCGCTCTGTTTGTTTTCCATCTTTTCGTGCTTCACTCGAGGACCAGACCTCGAGAATCAGTCCTTTAGT